ATGAGTTATTTAACCTTTTGAGTCTCAGTTTCCTTTATCTGCAAAATGGGCAGAATAAACTCATCCTATTTACTTCACAGGGCTATGGTGAGCATAACATGAAATAATATACTTAAAAGGAACAAAGCAGTAGTTCCCACTTACATGGTGCTTTCAGACTTACCAAGAACTTCCCCCACAACAGCCCTATGAGGTAGGTGGGTAATATTATCAGCCCTGTTTTGCCCACCGTCACACAACTGCTAAGTATCAGAGTGAGATTCAAATCAAGGTCTCTCCTGATTCCAAGTCTAGTGTCTTTTCTAGTCTATGATGCTGGAAAATTATAAAGCCACAAGATCATAAAATATAGAATAGAAAAAGACTTTAGACATCACTTAGTGCAATGGTCTCCAACCTGTGGGCCACAGACTCCTCAGGACAAAAGTAACAGAACTGCAAGAGTCCAGTGAATCCATACATCCTTAAATGTATTTCCTATAGCTAGCATAAGTAATGTGTGTCATTCATATTGTATCACTGTTTTTCAAATGTATGTGGATTCTATTGTGATTTAACCAAATATAGTTTTATTAAAAAGCATTTCTGAGTTCATAGTAACTTCTTGTCAACATGCATTTTCTCGATCAACAGATGATTATAGTATGGCTACTATCATAGAGGGAGGCATCATTTTTCAGAGGGCACTTAATGCTGGAAAAAGTTGGCAGCCATTGGGAGCAAATATAGGTAGCATTATTATGGCAAATCTGTAACAATGTAAACATTACACACAGTTTCCAAAGGCTATCCAATGTTAACCTTGTTGAAATTTAAATAGACATAAATTCATCATATGTTACTTCCCTGCTGGAGAAACTTAAGCAGCTCCCCACTTTAGAATCACAGATTTAGAGCTGGTGAGGACCCTAGAAATAATCTTGTCCAACTCCCTCATTTTACAGAAAATGAGGCTCCTAGAGATTAAATTATTTACTCAAGGTCATACAGGTAAGGAGCCGAAAAGGTGGGACTCACACTCAGGTCTTACTTAGAATTGTTACCACTACTTTATATAATTCATATTTATCTACAGTAGAAATCAGTGGGGTATCCCTCAACTCAGGGGGTGGGTGCTCCAGGGGATGGCTACTCAAGGTTTGTGGTACTCCAAGGGTCAGTACCCAGAATACTATAGCCCATGAGCCCCCACTAATGTGTTTATCTTTAACCATCAACCAGAGAACACAGTTAACTTCAGGCAAAGATATTTAATGAAATAGAAACAAATCGTAGCCCCAATAGTGTTCACTCTTTTATAAATATGCACAGTATCAAAAGTTGGGGAGCTAGGTGGCGCAGTGGATAGAGCACTAGACTTGGAATCTCTATGAGTTCAAATCTGGCCTCAGACACTTACTAGCTGTGTGACCCTGGGCAAGTCACTTAACCCTGTTTGCCTCAGTTTCCTCATCTGTCAAATGAGCTAGAAAAGAAAATGGCAAACCACTCTGTTATCTTTTCCAAGAAAACCCCAAAATGGAGTCACAAAGAGTCAGACAGGACTAAAAAACAACACATAAACAGAACATAGATGGTAAGGCACACAAACAAGGATCATGTGTGGCCAGGGTCTATATTTGCAGAGGTACACACACACAGACACACACACAGACACACACACACATACGTACACACACAATGCCTTCAACTCTGTAGAGCCAATGATTTCTCTTAGTGATGTCATTGCACTGCTCACCCTAATATAGATCTGTTATTGGTCTCATCATTTCCACTCCAGTGGTTTCCATCTAGGATATAAGTTATTTGGGAGCAAGTCAGTCAAGTAGCCCAGTGGATAGAGTGCTGCTCCTGAACTCAGAAAGATACGTCTTTATGAGTTCAAACCTGGCCTCAGACATTTACTATCTGTGTGACCCTGAGCAAAGTTTCCTGTCTATAAAATGAGCTGGAGAAGGAAATGGCAAACCACTCTAGTATCTTTGTCAAGAAAACCCCAAATAGGGTCGTGGAGAGTCAGACATGACTGAAAATGACTGTAACAACAAGAAGTCAAAAAACATTAAGTACTAATTTCGTACCAGATTCTATGCTGAGTGCTGGGGATACAAATACAAAAAAAAACAAAAAAAAGCAAAAAAAAACCAAACCTGGCCCTGCCCTCAAGGAGCTTACATTCTAATTGGAAAAGACAACACTATGGGAAAGTTTAAAAGGGATGTGAGAAGGTACCCACATGGGGGTATGGTGGAGAAGACCAGAGAGTCAAGAGGGGAATCTCCAAAATGGAGGCCCCTGAAGGGACTCTTCAATGGCAGAAGAGGTTTCAGGGTAAGTTACTTAGAAGTCAAATATCTCATTTGCCTGCCTCTAAGGTATCTATATCTGATATTTGGCGATATTTTATTTGTAAAAAAGGGCTCACCAATGTTGGTTTGCTTGGAAAGCCTCGGGATTGAGAATAAAAGACTTAGAGGGGCAGCTAGGTGGTTCAAATCCGGCCTCAGATACATAACACTTACTAGCTGTGTGACCCTGGGCAAGTCACTTAACCCCAATGGCCTTGCCCCCAAAAAAAAAGAAAGAAAGAAAAAAAGATCTACTGAGAATAAAAGGCTTAGAGACCACAGGATGGACCTATGAGAGGTTGGGGGGAAGGGAAGAGGATGGAGAAAAAGAGATAGATTCCAGTTTTCCAAGATTTCTGGCTTGGGGCTCAAATGAACCAGATTTTTTATTGCAAGAATATTATTCAGCTACTTAAAAGCAAAGATTAATCCTGACTGTCTCATTACCCTGGGCAAAGAATGAGCAAATAGTTGTGTTAAGGAGGAGAAAACAATAATAATAAAAACAAAAACAAAAACAAAAACAAACAACCAAAAAAACCTTGTTAGGTAGGCTCCTTAGAGTTCTTTTTCAATGACAGAGTTGTCTACCTACCTATTTCCCTACAAGAAAGTTTCTCCCTCTAAATGGCAGAGAACAGGGCCCCATAGAGCCAAGGCTAAAGGGAGGAGTTGGGAAAGACTAACTTGGGGAGAGGGAGAGGCAGGAAGATGAGTCTTCTGGACTCCAGACCCTATACTCTATCCACTTTGCCATCTAGTTGCCCCTATGTCAGGACACCCAAGCTCAAATCCGGCCTCAGATACTTACTAGCTGTGTGACCTTGGGCAAGTCACTTCACCCTGTTTGCCTTAGTTCCTCATCTGTAAAATGAACTGAAGAAGAAAATAGCACTTCAATATCTTTGCCAACAAAACCCCAAATAGGGTCACCAGAAGTGGGACGTGACTGAACAACAATAACAAATTTAGGCTCAAGTCTACCAGAAACAATTTTATAACATTTAAAATTTAATTAATTTAATTAAAATAATTTTGTTTAACATTTATTTGACAGTTAATAAGCATTTATTAAATATATATTATGTGCCAGTCACTGTAGTAAATGCTAGGGATGCAAAGAAACAAAAAAAGACAGTCCCTTCTCTTAGGGAGATCACAGCCTCATGGGGGAACCAACCTGGCAACAATTATGTGCAAACAAGATGTAATCAGGATGGATTAAATCAATTGAGAATTAAAGGGACCAAGAGGGTAGGCATCATTAAAAGGTTTGTACCTACCCTTAATCCTGAGAAAAGCCTTTTTGTTCAAAAGGATTTTCCAAGAATTTGCAAAGTGCTTCTGAGGAGAATATTATTTCTTAAGGTTGCTAAAGAAAGGAAACAAGGATTTGTTTTTTTTTTAAATGGTTTCACCAAGGCCAAGTGATATGCCCTAGGGATCACATAGATAGTTATGGACAGAGTTGGGACTTGAATCTAAATACTCTGACTCCCAATCCAGTCTTCCCATATTTATATCCACCTAGAAAAAATGAGTTAAGGAGGTTATTGAGTATAAGAGTCAGTATCTGAACCCTGGCCTCTGGTTCCATATCCAGCAATCTCAGAGATTCCCTTGGAGACTCTAGAAAGAGCACGACCTGGAATCAGGAAGACGTGAATTCCAGTCTAGCCTGGGATACTAACTGTGGTACCCTGGGCAAGTTATTTAGCCCCTTTGAGCCTGTTTTGTCTTCTGTAAAATGGGAATAATCATAAAACTTCTTTCTTCTTTGCCAGGGTTGTTGTGAGGAACAAACGAGATAATATTTGTAAAGTTCTTAGCATAGCGCCTGGCACATAGTAGGTGCTATATAAATGTTAGCTGTTGTTGTTTCATTATTATTACAAACCCTAAATGCTTGCTAGGGGTTCTTAAATTTGGGGGTCCATGCACTTGGCCTTTTACTATTTTGATACTTGTATATCAATATAATTTCTTCCTTTTGCAATCCTATGGAATTTATTTCATGACTCTAAAAGCATTACTCTGAGAAGGGGTCCATAGGCTTCACCAGACTTCAGGGAGGTCCAAACGGGACACAGAAAAGGTTAGGAACTCCAGCCTCAGAAGGAGCATGGTGTAGGAGAAAGAGGTGGATTTAGGGTCCCTGGGTTTGAATCCCGACTGTACCCCCTTGCTACCTTAGACAAGTGGCTAACCTTCTCTGGGCTTCTGTAAGATTAAGAGGGCTGGCTTATTTGACCTCTAAGGTCTTTTACAGACACAGACAGTTACAACATAGGAAATGAAACATTGTCTCAAGGCAAGGTGAGGTTAATTACCCAGCGCAGTTCTAGACATTTCCGCCAGGTGTCACTGCAGGCAAGGATTGATTGGCACCAGTTCTGCTGCTGCAGGAGCCCCGGCACTAAAGCTAACCCCGGAAGCAGATCTTCTCGCTTTTCTCCACCCACTTTAAAAAAAAATGTCGTGGGTCTGATCTGCTGCTGCGTGGCCCGGGGCTTGGGGGAGTAACTTGCGCGGCTCAGAGGGGTCTGCGCAGGGGAGTAGAGGGAGGGTGCAGGGGGTCAAGGGCTCCGAGGGCTTCCTGGCTCCAGACGGTCCTGGGACGCGAGGCTCGTGGCGAGTGATTAAACTGCCGGGGGAGGAAGATTTCCAAGAGAGAGGCCACAGAAGCGGGTTTGTAGGGGCGGGGGGCGTTTTCTGGGACCTCCCCACGTTTCAGCAGCAGCCCCCGAGGAAGGCAAGAGGGTTGGAAGATGGGGAGACAGATGCAGCAGCGCCAGGGAAGCCCGTGAAAAGGGCCTCGCTGTCTGTCGGAGGAAGCCTCCCCTCCCTAACAGGTAAACGTCCGCAACTCACATTGCCTGTGCTCCCTCTCCCCAGCAATCCTGGACGCTTGGGGTAGTGCTGGTTAGCAGCAATGCCCCCGCGTCGCAGAGGAGAAAACTGAGGCTTGCAGAGTTTGAGAGACTGGCCTAGGGCCACCAGACGCAGGAAGCGTCTGACTCTAAGGAGTTGGACTCCAGAGTCTCGTTAACTCAACGCGATCCCGGGTACCCGGTTGGGAAATAGTATGAGCAGAAATAGCAGACTTCGTTCTATTCAGCACGCGTGTGTTAAGCGCCTGCTGTGTGCCAGGCACTATTCTGTATGTTGTGATTACGAAGACGAAAGCTTAACTTGATCCTGCCCCTTGGGGTGTTTACATTCCACTGGAGGAGAACAGCTTGCGGACAGATAAGTAAATGCGGGAGAGAAAGAGTCAGAGGGAGGAGAGAGAGAAGGGCGGGGGAAGGGGGGAGGGATAGAGAGAAAATAAACTTTATAAACCAAAGCAGGAAGGGATTTGACGACTTGGAGGGGGAGTGCAGCTTAGGAAAAAGATGACCAATTAGCCCTTAATCAATTGCCTTCCCTTTCTAGCAGTGACTTCCTCCTGGGATACCGGTCCCGGCCCACCTCGCTCCTCCTGGGTCCCACGGAGCTGGGAGTGAGCTCCCGGGGAGCCTGGCGGGCTTTCTCTGGACGCTGCCTTTCTCAGCCCGACCCGAGCGCATCCTCTTCAATGATCCAAAAGTCCCGGGCCCCGCTACTCAAAACTCAAGATGTTGGAGACAGAGTGGAAACTCTTATGGTAATAATGGGGGGGTGGGGGGCTGGGGTCTCAGAAGTGCGTGAGTGAGCTGCCCCGGGAGCCCCTGGGGAGAGAAGAGCGTTTCTCTTATGAGTGTCGTCCAGGCCTGGTTGATATTGCTTGGGTATGGGTGGAGGAGGGCGGGGCTGGTACCCCAAGCTGCAAGAGTAGATTGAGTGAGCTGAAAATTGATGTTTCCCATCCGTCCAGCTTGAAGCCTTGGGGTTGTTTGTTGCTGCGCCGGGAGAGAGACTGGGGTCATTTGCAAGTCTGGTGCAATGATGGGCGAATGTTTGTGAGCTCTCTCCCCCACCCCTGGTGCATTTCTCTGACTTGGCCCTGTGTGCCTAAAATGAAAGATTTTTTCTCTTCTCGCTAATGCTGGTCAGAGGGGATAGGCTGGGCCCAAGCCCTTGCTGCTGAGGTCTGTGGGGCATGACAAGGCTTTTTGCATTTGGACTTGCTGCCTGGCATAGAGTGGGGGAGGGAGGGAACAGAGAGCCTGGAACATGTAGAACTTGCTTCAAAACAGAGCTAGTAATTAATATTTCTAAAGAGAGAGAGGAAGGAATAAGCATTTATAGAGTGCCTTCAATGTATCAGGCACTGTGCTAAGTGGTTTTTTTGTTTGTTTTACAAATATCTCATTTGAACTTTCTACAACCTTGGGAGATAGGTGTTACTATTAACCCTATTTTACGGTTGGAGAAACTGAGTCAAATAGGTACAGTGAGCTGCCTTAAGTGTCTGAAGCCTAAGGTCTTCCTGACTCCATCCTCAGCTCTTTTTCCACGGCTCCCGTTAAACCATAGAATAAAAGGGTCTTGTGTTTTGTTTTGTTTTGTCTTGTCTTAAGCCTCTCTGGTGGAGAGGCAAAAAAACATAAGATTTGGAATAGAAAAGGTTGAAAGATGGAGGGGAATGAGTTCCAGCTGCAGCAGCATCAGGGAAACCAAGAAAGAGGCTGAAGGGGGATTTCAGATCCTGGGCAGTCCTTTGACACCTGTGTGATCTGGTTGGACTGCTTGGTAGGGCACAGAGAGCCCCAGCTTTGAAGTCTGGCCACTGAAACTGGCATTCCAGCTCAGCTGTCACTGGCAAGACACTGGAAGATGAGAGGTTTGGGCTAGATGCCTCCTTCTACACACTTGGCCTCTACAACTAGAGGGACTGCCTGTGTGCACACACCTACAAATGAAACGATCATAGATTTTTTTTTAAAGAGCTAAGAAGGGCTTTAGAGTTCATTCAGGCCAGCCCCGCCACCCTTAATTTTACAGATGAAGAAAGTGAGGCCCAGAGAGATTAATTGACTTGTCCAGTTTCACACTGGCAGGAAGTGACAGAGGAAGGACTTTAACCCAGGTCATCTGACTTTTGGTAGTATACCATGCTGTATCTCCATGTCTGTTAGATGGCACAGTGATTCCTGGAGTCAGGCTGAGTTCAAATTGACCCTTAGATGCTTACCATCTGTGTGACCCTGGTCAAGTTACTTAACCTCTATTTGTCTCAGTTTCCTCCTTTGTAAAAAGGGAATGATGATGATAACAATAGCACCCAGGGTGCCCTGCCAGGATTGTTGTAAGAATCAAATGAGATCTTTTTAAAGAGCTCTATAAATGCTACCTATTATAGTTACTAGCTATGTGACCCTGGGCAAGTCACTTAATCACTGTGTCTCCTTCCTTTTCCTCTTATGTAAAATGGGTTAATAGCACCTACTTTCCAGGGTTGCTGTGAAACTCTCAGGAGATACAGGCATACCTTGTTGTACTGCACTTTACATTATTTCGCTTCAGAGATATTTCGGGTTTTTGCAAATTGAAGGTTTGTGGCAGCCTGCGTCCAATAAGTCTATCAGCACCATTTTTCCAACAGCATGTGCACACATTATGTCTCTGTGTCACATTTTCATAATTCTGGGAATATTTCAAACTTTTTCATTATTGTTGTATTTGTTACCATGATCTGTGATCAGTGATCTTTGATGATACAATTGTAATTGTTTTGGGACCCCTCAAACCTATAAGGCATCAAACTTAATAAATGTTGGGTGTGTTTGAATTTTCTGCCACGGCTTCCCTATTCCCTAAGACTGAGCAATATTGAAATTAGGCCGGTTAATAACCCGCAATGGCCTCTAAGTGTTCAAATGAAAGGAAGAGTTAGTCTGTTGGACAGACGTCCTTGTCTTAGTTGAAGAAACTGCCACAGCCACCCCCCTGATCAGCCAGCAGCCCTCAGCACTGAGGCCAGGCCCTCCGCCACTCACTGAAGGCTCGGGGGATGGTTTACATTTTTTAGCAATAAAGTATTTTGTAATTAAAGTATACACATTGTTTTTTTAGACATGATACTTTTTTTTATTTAACAGACTACAGTATAGTGTAAACATAACTTTTATATGTACCAGACCATTTGTGTGACTCACTTTATTGCCACCTTCCTTTTGTTGTAGTGGTCTGGAACTGAATCTGCAATCTGTCCAAGGTATGCCTGTATCTTTATATAAATATGTAAATCCTGGGCAAGTCTGTT